CAATTATGTTGAATATTTATTTATTTATTTTTCAGTAAGCTCTTCATCTCTCCATGCACGCCAGATAAAGAGAAATCGCAAACCCAAAATATTGTAATCCCACATACCACTGTAAAGCATTAATAAATCACACCGTGGAAGCACTGCCTTCTAACTTCATCACAAACGATTAAGAGCGCCACTCATGCTGATCTCAGTCTTCTGCAACTTCGGAAAATATCACATAGACTACTATCTTCATTGCGACAACTAAATTCCGCCTATTATTCCTTGATTGCTGTCAAACAGAGATCCTTGAATAGCACTAGGTGGTCTCCCATTTTAGAGCTCCCACTCAAAAAGAATTCTTTTATAGATAAACACTACAATTGACCCACTGTTTTATTACAACAAACTTTAAATTTGAAGGTGACATCGTAAAATGTCACTAATCAATATACAATCGTATAAAACAACATATGCAATACGCCTGCAACAAAAGCAAGACAATCCCGGAACTGAAAACAAGAAAAAGGAAAAAACCCGGACACGTAAATCTCATGTCTCCAGCTGTGAGGTGACTCTGGATTTTATTAATAGCAAGGTTCATTTTTTTCCTCTACCCTTATATTGCGTGACTTAAACAAAACTTTACGACTAGCAATAAGCAGCAGAATGTGGCATGCAACGGCTGTAGGCCCGGCAGTTCGAAGCTGAGCTTCCATCCCGCTTCAAACCCATCAGATGGATGGGACGGTATTTGTTTCCAAAATGTTTTTAAGTATTTTTAAACGCTTAAAAACACCAAACATTTTTATCGCTGTAAAAACATTACTTTGTACTTCGTATTCGTAAATGTTTTTAAAGCAATAAAAAAGTATGCCACTTTCTGAGCCCTTTTGGTTTATTCTAAAATATCTAGAAAACAAGTGTCCTTTGCAAGGTGAGTGATATGGTATTTCACTGGTTTTCAACGACTGAGTACCATGGGAACAGTAAAGACATATTTACTGGGAAAATAATATGAAAAGTTGACCAAATAGTTTAAAGAAGAATCTTTTCTTCTTTAACAAGACAAGAACACTAATAGAGATTTGGTAGGAAAGCAGCTGTCATAGAAAGATGAAAATAAACGAGAAAAACATTCAGTTACCAAATTACAATTTATAATTACTACTATTTTTGGCGCCAATTACGATCGTCGTCAGCTGCTCCTCTGCGCTGATGCTGAGATGTACCACGAACTGAAAATGAAATTTGATAAAAAAAAACAACGCATGAACTTCGAAATGAGAACGTCAAACTTCTTTGCTAAGGAATTATGAAAGTCACATCAATGAGACAGACTAATTTTGAACTCGGTGTATCAAGCTTACGTTAGTGAGATGCATACATATAACGAACCAGATGTTTTCGAGAGTACCTTTTAAGCATAGAACAAGTAATTTTGGACCTGAACTTTGCATAGCTAAATTACATCGTTAAAAATCATGGAATAGTTTTCAAGTGTGGTCTCTTGACAAGAGGAAAATAAAAACTAAACACAAAATGAAGACTGTTAAAATGAGAAAAAAGTTACATGATTGTGCACCGTGACCATCACCAGTACGTTGCATGGATCGACTCCATTTGCTTGTACCTGTACTTGTTTCATTACTACCACTTCCTTCTAATATTCTTCCAGATGGAGCACCATTTACTGGAGCACCATCTGCCTGACGGGACTTTGAAGAGCGCCACAGCTGACTTGTGGGAGCTAAACAACTCAGAGATTATAAAGCAGTTTCTGATATCAGTTGAATGGCAAATGTAAATAGAATGTCCATGGAGATACAAAATAATTTCACATCTAAAAATAGTCGCGAGTGATCTCGTTTATTTCTACAACTCGTCGCAAAGCTTTCAAAAAGCTTTAGCTAATCGCAGAGTATGTAAAAGTCTCTTACCTGCTAGCAGATGCCCGTTGTGATGAATCGGCTTGATCACGTGTTACAATCATTCCTCGTCTCCATGGTCCTGCATCAGTTGGAGAGGAAGTGGCTACAGCTTTCGCATCATGTAGCTGAGAGCCGGGTGGTTCTCCACGTTTTTCCATAAATGATTGCTACAAAACTTAATCATTTTATTCAAAAAAACAAAATAAAGAACCTAAAATAAATCGCAAGTGGCAGAATTTGTATGAAAGTGAAATTCTGGTTATCTGATACTTGTCCAACAACATGATCTCTATCACGTTGTGTTACTTGTCCCTTCCTCCAATTTGTCGTTGTATCTGCTTCACCGCGTGATTGTTCTCGATCAGAGAAGCGTGATGGCGCCGCAGGACGTTCAAAATTACGAGCTGGTCCATCTTGTTGTCTCTGCGATCCAGTGACATTTCCACGTACCCATGATCCACTATCAGCTTCGGATATGGCCTGAAAAATTTCCGATTCGACCAACCGAACAGTGAAACAACTCATATAATTAGTCGCTGCAAGAGTCTGAAAATTCCTTATAACAGTAAAAACAAACATTATTAACAATTGCACCACTTTCGCGATGGCGTTCACCTTCCACGAAACGTTCTCCAAACGATTTTGAAGGAATAGTTCGAAGTTGTGCTGGCTGTGCACTTTTACGCCAATCCAAATCCATGTCTGAATTTTCAACTGTTTCCCGTTTAGGGGGACGTTGTGCTTCACGGACTGCTCTTCGTTCTTTCTCCTGTTCTTCTCTCCTTGCTTGCTCTGCTGCTTCCTTAGCTTTCATCATTTCTCTCTCACGTTCCTGAAAAAGTATGAATATAAATAAAGGTTCGATTCTTTAAAACTCAGGAAGGGACCCTGAGGTATTCTGCACCATTATGCAATTATAGCACAACCTGGAGCCATTCTCGCCTTCGTTCTTTCTTCCGAAGTTCATGGCGTTCTTCAAGACGTTTTCGTTTCTCATCTTGCAGTTTCTTCTCCCACTCCTCCATTTTTTTATTGAAATCTTCAGCACGTGCCTCTTTAACCGATTTAAGGAATGCAGCCGCATCCGGATCCTTACGTACTTTTTGCATGCGTTCATAGACAGCAATTGCATTTTCATGGTCTTTGCTAAAAAGTTGGATAAAACAAAATGAAATTCGCTTTTATAATGACTCGACAATATCAATTCACTGTTTTCATATGCATCGTTCAGATAAAACTGCAACAATTACAATCTATCCAGTTGCAATATATTTCTTATTTTACTCTGTATACCTGCTATCATTACATTACCCAATTCTATCCTTCAAAACATTCAGTGCGCATGGATATTTTGAAATGAGGAAAGACTAAGAAATCAAAACAAATCAAATCAGTAAATTTGAACATACGTTGCATTTTCAATACGACGCTTCTCATAAGCGTCATGGTTTTGAGGAGCTTTCACCGCAAAATTATCCGAAATAGCCTTGCGTGCTATCATTTCCTGCAGATGATAAGCACGGATCAGATGATCAAATTTCTTTTCTTGTTGCTGCAAACGAGCTTGCTGCTCACGACGTTGTTCATCCAAACGATCACGCTGTTCACGAAGTACTAAAAAAATTAATAATAAACTCAACTGACATCATAATTAATGAAATAATCACATAGTCAGAAGGCTATGTACAGACCTGAGTCAGGATCCATGTTTTGGAAGGCTTCTTCGCCGTGATCTTTTACAATAGCCTGATATATCGGAGTTGCTTGGATTTTTTTCATTTTTTCTGCCCGTACTTTACGATCAATCTCCTCCTGTTCCGCAAGCCTCCGCAGTTTTTCTTTTTCGATATTTTCCTGTTCTAAACGGCGCATTTCTTCAGCTCTTCTCTGTTCTTCCTTCCTGTTAGCTTCCGCCTGGGCTTGTTGACATTTCTCTAATTTCTGTCGTTCACTAGTTTCCTTATAACTTTCAATTTTCTTCCTTCGCAAGAGTACCCGTTCGTAATCCGCATCTTTGTGATATGAATATATCGCCGCATGACGCTTCAACTAAAAAGAAGGAAGGAAGTACTAAAACGCAAAAGTGCAATTAAAATTTTAACAGAGGAGCATTTTAAAGACTTACGTCTTCAGTAGCGGCCTTCTTAATTTCTTCATAATCAAGAACCTGAACAACGTCTCGCAGGCTATTATACATTGACTGAAGATGATTTCGAATATCCTCGACAGCTACCTAAATAATGAAAGTTATAGAGAAAATCCAACATAGTTCCTCCGGAGATCACATATTATTATGTGGTATTTTTGTTGAGTGATTTGTTGAAAATAAAAAAAATTTTTGGTTAAAAAACTCCATATATCGGAGTGTAAAAATCCATGAAAACATAACGAATTATCGTTAAAATTGTAACTGATAATGCCCGTAAAACCATCCGAACGATACTTATGGCATCACATGCACAAATTAGCAGTCCAGTTGCCCATTCCATGATTATTTATCAAACGCATGCATTCAGTATCGAAGATTCAAATTATATCTTTATGCTACTGCATTTTATGCATGAGAAAATATGTACAAATATGCCAAACCTGCTCTGCTTCACCACCAAAACCATCCGATACTTCCAAATCGAAAAATCCAGAAAGCGCAGCATCAGCTGCCCCAAAGTGAATTGATCCGCCACGATGATCAATGCGAGCCTATAAATCAGTCCAAAACAAGCCTAGAATTGGTCCGCATCTGTCTACAATACATAACTACCGCTTAAAACATTTTTTGCAACCAAAAATTTAAGCACCTTTTAACAGCTATCATAAGAAAACCAGATGAACCTACCTTGACATAGCGATGCTTTGCTATATCCACCAAAAAACGCTCTAGCTCATCACCACTATAAAATGGAATTACTTTCTGGATACGCTCAATTGAGAGTGTATCATAAATGACCGAAATTTGCTTTATAATTTTTGTAGCTGTGACCCCTTTCAGGGCTTCAACATATTGATTGTATTCAGCCTTGTTCAGTTCTGTAACTTTTGTTAGTTCCGCTTGGATCTCATTTGCAAGACGTAGAGGTGTAAAATTACACTCCAACAATCTGAAAAAAAAAAAAGGGATTCAATAGGGAAGCCTTTGATTTCTTTAATGTAGCTTTACAATAAAAGATTTAGAAGAACAAGGAAAACAGAAGCATTAATACAAATCTTATATCCTTTAAAAGAAATGCGCCGGCTTGTGACGGTGTTGAAAAGAAAAAATTAATTTTAATAATATGGTATCAGTTACCAAATCAATTCATTTTTCACCAGTTATTTAAATCCAATGACCTTAATAAACCTACATAAATCCATGTTATCACTATTTTAGTGATTGTATCCTACCATACTTTGAGATTACATAAATATTCACATAGCATAATGAAGGATATATGTCTGACTTGATTTTGTTAAAAATGAGTGCAAAAACCTTTTACCGATATAGAGTACGTGCACTTTCCACAGCAACATCCGGCAGATTCAGACGAGTGATCTCTTTTAAAATTCCAGCTCTTGTAGGCGCTACTGGTAAACGAAGAAGATTCGACAGCAACCTAAAACAATCAATGACGAATTTCTAGCCATAGAGTGTGGAGACGAAATTCATTTTATGGATCCTTTATTTTTAAGCTTCCAACTAATTATCAGTCAAAATCTATCGAACACGAACAAAGATTTCAACAAAATCATTTGTCCTTGCAATTCAGTATTAGCAATCAATTGCCTGAAGAGGAGAAAAAAAGATTGCGGCATTAAATGATCCACTCTTAAGTTTTAATTTTCCTATGAAGAAATCAAGTTGAACAAACAACTC